TGTTACGCTTTCTAACGAGATGTAATGGGCGAGGAGCGTGTTAAGTGAGGAAAACATTTGTTATATCGAGTACGAGCCGTTTGTAATTCCCTGACTCGGATTTTGGAAGCGGGATAAGAATTGGTTTGTGCGTAGGTGAAATAGAAAATCTGAAGTAGGAAGAGCGATGAGAACTTAATCCGATCCGTTATTATCCATTTGTATAATTAAGCTGTTAAAATGGTAATACGCTTATTAACTATCGTTATTTACGCGAATAATATTCATGAAAACTAAAACGATTATCATTGAATAATAGTTGTACAAACGATGCTACCTATTTCTTCCACTTTGTTAAAATTCAACGAAGCGTTAAAAATCGTTAAAATTAACCAATTATCGAAATAAAAATAAAATTATGATTTTTCTCTCTTAAATTTGCCTATTAAATTTGCCTCGCATCGTAATCGCACGAATATACGTATACAAGGTATAAACAAGAATAAGACTCTCTTATAAACCTTTGCTCCTCTCTAATTCCACCCAAAAAAACAACTTCTTCTTCTACCATCCCTCCTCCTCCCCGTCTTGAATCGCGATTTAAACTCTTCTATTTAATCCGTTGGCAGTAAAGGCTTTCGCCTCTCTTACTCGAGGATCAATACTCAAGAGATCCCTGGAAAAGGGATCCGGTCGGACAAGCGCGATTAAAGCGTTTGCACACACATACACATCCTCCTTCCTCTCTCTTCACTTCTTTCAATACATACAAGCAACGATAAAGGAAGGCTTCGTTTAATTACGAGGCGAGGTAACGGCCTCGTTTTCGCGCGATCGAGAAACTCGGTTACGGGTTTATATAATAATGTGAAGCGGTAATTTAACGGTGGTCAGATCGGCCGTCCACAGATGGCGACGGTGGTCAGTCTAGGGGGCGCGATACGATACAGGAGACGGGTCGAATGAATTACGATTCGGGGGGAGGGGGGAATGAAACGTATTGTCTAATTTGTTTTTAATAATATTTTTAATAATAACCGTTGTTTTCATCAATCCTGAAGGAGTTGTTTTCGTTCCTGTTTTTGATATGATATATTCGAATTCCCGTAGATTCTACGGGATTAATTACGACGTAGATTATGAAAAATACTATAGTGCGAAGTGGCCAATAATTGTTGGGAATGAAATAAATTAAATGAAAAAAAATAGGATATAAATTTTATATTGCACGTTTTGTATCAGGATTTAAATTATTTTAAAAATTTAATATTGTCGAAAATAAGAGAGTTCAATTTAGAAATTGAATGTTAAATTTATTGATATCTAGTTCTTTTTAGAAATAAATTTAATTTAGATATAAAATAATCAATAAATTAAATTTAAGATATTGAATTTATTAAATTTCATATTAAAAATTTATGAGATGATCTTGTAAATTTTGAATAAAAATTTAATTTTAATAATTTAAATGTCATAAAGATAAATATCGTAAAAATGTTAATAAATAATTTAAAGCAACTTGACAATTGTTCCATTCTCGAATAGAATTCTTAATAAATCGATTTGAGGGAATTGATTATCAATTTGTATTATACATAAAACAACTTTTATCATTAAGATATCTTTCGATTGGACAACCATCGGACGAATAATGATTCATTGGATTCTGCAAAGGAACTTCGTTCTCCTCGATTTCTAGGACTCTAGATTGATTTGCTCGAATGAAAGTTCGAGACACATGCCGACGGTTCGCTCGAGCTTTCATAGATATGAACTGAACACGATTTTTGAAAATTTATCGACTTCGAATATATTACAACAAGAAGATCAACTGATAGAATTTTATATCATACCATTATCCACATTAATTATCTTTTCTTGACACTTCTTGGAGAGCAAATAAATGAAATAAAAATATTTCCATCGAAGATAACCTATTATTATTAAATATCGACACTTTCACAAATTTTTCACACACATCGTTTTATCCAATATACAAGTATTTTCGAATACCTCGTTCTTGAAGTCACTCACACAATCATTCACCACAACTTATTATTAACTTCAATTCATCTAAATATTCACGATTCGAGATGAGTAGCAACAAAAGAACGATGCGCTTTCGAAAACTAACCTATAAATACATAACCGTTCATAACGTGTGGCGTTTTCACGACATTTGAACGAATCTGGGGAAAGAATCGGCGTGTTTTCGCCTATTTTAACGAACAAATGAATCGAGCACAGATCTCGTTTTTACGGATGACGAGTTAAAGGAAAACGAGTTAAAGCTCGCGTCCAACCGAAGATTCACGATGAACTGAAACCGAAAGAGAGCAGGCTGCGGCTGAGAGGATCCGCGAGGGAAAGTAAAAAATTGACATTTCCTCTACGAAGAGAAGAGGAGAGGATCCCTGGACGGGCGGCGAGAGGCAAGGATGGAATGGAAAGGGTTCCTTGGAAAAAAAGGAAAACTCTTTCTTTCTTTTTTCTTCTTTACTGTTCCCCCCGGTAAATAAACAGCCCCGCTTTCTCCTCCCAACCCTTTTTTTAACCCCATCTCTCGCTTTACTTTCACTTTCCTCTTGCTGTGAGCTCACTTCTTTCCGCCGGATAATGGGAATATCTCGTCGATTCAACTCTTTTGTTGGGAAGAAGTCGTGGAAACCAATGTGAAATGGTCCGAGGGAAAAGAGAAAGCGTTAATTAACCTCTCGAAATTTCTCCAAACTTTTTCGACTTGTGTAGAAAATAACAGTAGTACAAGTTTTCGAAATCTTTTTTACAAAAAAAAAGAAATTTGTCGTTTATTGAGATTAAATCGAGCTTCAAACGAAAGTAAAGGCGATCGAGGATAAAAATGATTGTTCTCTCGTTTCAGATTACTGGCGCACGGCTGGGCCGCCGGACTTCGTCCATGAGGAGGTGAGTAACCACGAATAATAATAATTTCATTCGTAATTAACGGACTACTTTTACGCACTGTTGTTGAGAACGTATAAAAATCAAATTAAAATTTTCTCTCAGGTAATGAAAACGTATTCTCTCGTATTTCTATTCTACTACAATCATCTCGATCATCAATATAATCGTAAATTTCTAAACTGAGAAAACTTTTAAAATTACTTATACATACATACATACATACATCCAACATAAAATTCCTCATCACGATCCACTTTCAATTTTCCTTTTCTTCTAAAGATTAGTAAAAAAGAAAAAAGAAGAGACAATTCTCCATCGTATATAAACACATCTACACACACATACACATTTCTTTATCTATCTACCTTACTTACCTTCGCACGCGAAGGAAAGGAAGAAAAATTTCGCAAGAGAAGGAAAAAGCCGAAGTAAATAATAGCAGTGGCAGTATGTCTACCGCCGTGACGAGAGAAAAAGAGAGAATCCGTGAGGGGAATGGAGAAAAAGAGAAAGAAAGCCAGGTCTATATACGTGCAACAACAACACCAGGTATATAGATAAGAGGGAGCGTTTGCCTCGTTCTCGAAATACGAATGGCGAACCGTTCGCGATATCGGTTATTATAAATTACAGGGAGAGGGGGGAGGGGATCGTGACTACCCGCCGTAAAGGGTAAAGTAAAGTAACGAATTAACGGCTTGGGGAGTGTCGCGAA